TTCACAAAACCAAAGATCACTATCTTGGTAAAACACAAAATCTCTATTTGTTTCTCTTGTATCTAAGCCTAGAACAAGAGAGAACTTTGATTGTCGTATCCTAGAAGGGATTTCGTGTAACCCAAGGCTTGAGAAGAGGGTCGAAATACTCTTTAAGGAAAGTGCTTTCATGTACGATTCAATCATTATCCAAGTTCACCGCACGTTACGATCCCAAAGTTACGTTCGTTTTTACAACATTCTTAAAGAGTATTTTTCGTGAACTATGGCTAATATTTTGGTGCGTGAGAAGACATCAAATTTTGGCAAGTTAGATAAGTTTAAAGGAATCGATTTTCGAAGATGACAAAAGAATATGCACTTTATCCTCACAACTTTCAATGTGGTGTATGTTCTAAGTATGCAAATGCCCACCGTAGCGGAGAATACAGAGAACAAGTCCGTGGAGGAGACAAGGAAGCAACTTAAATAGGAGAACGATGACTACATATGTCGTGGCCACATTCTCAACAATATGTCCGATCCTCTCTTTGATGTCTACCAAAAAGTCGAATCCGCAAATGAATTGTGGGATGCGTTGGAATCGAAGTACATGGCCGAGGATGCTTCTAGTAAGAAGCTCCTTGTGAGTAATTTTAATAACTACAAGATGTCCGATTCAAGGCCGTTTATGGAGCAATACAATGAATTGCTTCGCATCCTAGGACAATTCGCTCAACACAACATGAAGATGAATGAATCCATCTCGATGTCGAGTATCATCGACAAGTTACCACCTTCGTGGGAAGATTTTAGGCGCATGTTAAAACACAAAAAAGGAAGAGTTGTCTCTTGTACAACTCGGTAGCCATTTGCGCATAGAGGAATCTCTAAGGGTGCAAGAGGGAGAAAAACCCAAAGATAAAGAGGCTGAAACTTCTTCTATCAACATGATGGAGGAACGTGGGAGTTCTAAGATGAAGAACAAGGGGAAGAAACGTCCCTTTGAAAAACAAAACCAACAACAGATCTATCCAAAGGTTTAAGAGCGTTTGCTGGATTTGTAACAAGCCGGGTCACTTCAAACGTGATTGTCGGGTAGCAAAGGATAAGAATAACCGTTTCGGGAAAGGATATAAGGATCAAGGCCCATCCTCTTATCAAGGATAATGAGGTGATGTGGTGGATTGACTCGGGTGCAAGAACAAATGTTTGTAAGGATCACGACTGGTTCAAGACATACGAGCCAGTTAAAGATGGATCTGTACTTCATATGGAAAACGAGCCAACCGCTCCTATCCTAGGTCGTGGAAAAGTGGTGTTAGAATTTAGTTCAGAGATCTTAATGATGTAATTCATGTACCCTAAATCAGGAAAAACTTAGTCTCTGGTAGTGTTTTAAACAAGTGGGGATCCATTTTTTTTTTTTGGGAGAAAACTCTCTAGAGAAAGATAGAGATCTCAACCCAAGTCTAAAATCTCACTAGAAATTAGATCGGGTGGATCCGGGTCGGATCACAGTCGATAAGAGGAGATTCTGGGTAGAACGGACGACCAGTTCTGAGATCTCAATCCAAGTCAGAAATCTCACTAGAAATCAGATCGGGTAGATCCGGTTCGGATCACAGTCGATAAGAGGAGATTCTGGGCAGAACGGACGAACAGTTCTGGGCCGAACGAACAGACGGTTCTGGGCGATCAGACGGACAAGTCTGGGCGGAACGGACGGACGATTTTGGGTGATCAGATGGACAAGTCTTGGCAGAACAGACGGATAGTTCTAGGTAGTCTGACGGACGAGTCTGGGCAGAACGGACGGACAGTTATGGGATGATCAGATGGACGTGTCTCGACAGAACGGACGAACGGTTCTGGGTGGATTAGACAAACAAGAACGATCATCCATGGCCATGACTCGTGATCGGGTAATGAACGAGTGTTATGACGAAGGATGATCGGGAACGATCGGAAGGCTCCGCGTGAACGAGTACGACTGTGAAAGGGTATGATCGTGAATGGGTACGACTCTGAACGGGTACGATCGTGAAAGGGTGCGAATGCCAGAAGGCCGTTTGGTTAAACTAATGAGTTCATGAACGATTGATTCGGGACGAATAGGAATCACGGATTACGTGACACCTAAGCATTAGACATAGCACGATACGTGAGTTGATCACTCATGGGGTGATTACTTTGGAGTTTGTTTGGTCTCAACAAAATCTAGCTGATCATTTGACAAAGAGATTAGCTAGAGACTTGGTTACAAAGTCGACTAAAGGAATGGGTTAAAGTCCATTTGAAATCTCTAATTATAGGAAACCTAATTCCCTTCTAATACGATATTAGGGGCTGAATTCAATGCGAAAAATCTATACTTAGAGATTGAAGCACTAATTTCATAACATCCGAAGGTATATGCTTAGACCTGCAAGAGAAAGTTAGGTTGAAATTTTTCTTAATAGATCTTTTGAAAAAGTGCATTTTGCAGGTGCATGACTAAAAGATATACCTATACGAGTGTGAAGTGTAGCCGCTTCAAGGATCTTAGACTTAGCTTTGTATACGCTCGTGAAAGGATAAGGATACATGGCTTATAACAGTGTCAAAGATAAACAATTAGAGTAGTGTGTGAATTCGTGTGTGTATTATCTTCATGTGCCCAAAATGAGTTGAAAGGATTCAATCCATTGGACATCCTAATTCTCGGGTATTTGAAATGTGTAATAACACTAAGATGTTAATTCAATCGTTACGATAGTTTCATTTATGCATGAGTTTGGCTTATGTGTTGTTGATTTTGTGAATCAAATATTACACTTAAATGGGGGAGGAATGTTGGAGATTTAAGTGTTAATAAAACGGTTACTTTATTAACCATTGCAACTATTGGTTTTATTGTTACTTATTAACCATTGCAACTATTGGTTTTATGGTTACTTATTAAATGTAGGGTTGCAAACTACGTCGCAACCATTGGAGGTCTATATAACTATGTTTCTCTATATAACTCTATACTCTCCCAGCATTGGTGTTTGAAATGCCATTAAGTTTTTGTTTTGTTTACGCCTCTCTTGCTTACTCTTATACGTTATTTTTTGTTAGAATTATGCCATGGTCATCCCATCTCTTCGCATGCTTTATGTTCATGACAAAGATCTCAACTCTTTCTCCATGAGTCTTCGTAAATGGTACAGCTGTCATTTTTCCGAGCCGAGACAATATCCTATATGCCAAGACTATATATTTCATGGGAACTCCGGATAATGTCGAAGAGCTAAACTTCTTTCACGTAAAGACCTTATCTTTGAGTTTTTTTTGTTTCAAGATTTCAATTGCACAAAGTTTGCTCTTTGATTGAAATTGATGAGGCCAAGATTTTATCTCATATATTGGCTGATTAAGATGTTGTAAGAGAGCTAAAAGCGGCTGCTAGGACATCTGTTGGAATTTCTGGATTCAGCAACTTTGAGTTGGTTGAACATCCGGGAACTCTGCAACCAAATTGTTTCTCTTGCTGATAATAGGGCTCGGTTTTATAACCACTTTAGGAGCATGAACGCAGTTGTACCAAATCTAACATGCGCAAAATTTAACTGATGTATTTACTCCAAAAGAACAACACTTTTGGAGTACAAAACCGTCTGAAGGTATATTTTAATAGCTTTACTCTCCTTCTCTATGTGAGCTATATTTTTTTCTTCTTTCAATGATGGTTTGTTGTTTTTTTTACAGCTTGAACAGAAGTGGGAAGATCTTGTGAAAAAAACAAATATAGTCCATAACCAAATAGAGGAGATTGAATCACGAAAATAATAATAGGTAAGTAAGCATAAATAATGTTGCATATCCTAATGGTTAGGGGGAAAAAGGAAGAATCCAAGCTCGTCTTGACAAATCAGTGAACATTCACATAACGAGGCTTACAGAATGGTACGAATTACATTTTCCTGAGCTCGCTAACATAATTGAAGACGATATCCTATATGTCAGAGTTGTCCAATTGATGGACATGGCCTATTAGCAGATGTGAGCTATAAGTATGGAGATGGGTTCACCTTTTTCTCTAGATTGAAGTCGGAGAGATAAAGATCCATTTGCTTAGGATCGAATATCAAACATGGTAACTACGTTTTTTAGTGAACTTCATATGTATGTCTTTGCTTTTCTCTTCTCATTTAACAGAACCATTTTTCTACATAATAACATTGAACCCTAATGAGTGTAGTCCAGTGGCGAATGGTGAGAGCATTCCTAAGTAAGTTGAACCTCATCCTCCTAGTTCGAAATCCTTGGAGAGGGATGGTTTATGTCCAACAAAAGTATTATCAACGGCTGCTCAAATGCTACGAACTTAGGCTCGGAACTTCCTTGTTAAAAAAAAAAATGAATGGGGTTTCAAGACCTTTTTGTATATATGTAAAGTGTACATAACGAAACTTATTTATAGAAAGAGCCGTCTTTGTAGTCTTGACAATCTCTCTTTATCTTTGTTTTGAATCATATTGACACAAAGACATATTTGTGTACTTCTCCAAATTGAAAACAGAATAATTTACTCCACGGATTTGTTTTCATCTCTTAAAAACTTGGTGGGAGCCCATCAAGAATTTAAAGGTTTTCATTACAAAAACCAAAGGAAATCAAAAGATAATATAAGA